CACATCACCAACTGCCTATTTGACATTTCAAACTAGATATCTCTTAAACTCAACATGTCTAAAATTGAACTCAGTATCTTTCCCCTCAAACCCTTCCCTTTTCTAAATTTCTCTGTTACTGTCAAGGGCAACACCATCCTCAAAAGAGCCTACAGAGGATAGAACCTAGGACCTAAGTGAGTCATTCTCAACTCCCCTCTCTCTCACCCATTTTGTTTTCAAGTCCTCTGGATTTTTCAGCAAAAAATCACACCTTCTACCAGAAGCTTTTCCTGACCTTCCCTTAATGCTCACACCTTTCCTCTATCAATTATCTATACTTCATCCTCTATATACCTTATTTGTACAGTTATTCTTTTACCTTTGTTTATATCCCCCAGTACTTAACCCAGTACCTGGCATATAATCGGTGCTTGGTAAATGTTTATCGACATACGTGTTGTGTGATTTCTGATGATGGTAGGCATGGAGGAAGGAGTGATGTGGCCAAAAAGGTGATTTTTCAATTTATTGGTGTGTTAAATGGACCTCCCATCTGACCACTGAAAAGGATGCTAAGTGTCTGGGAGGAAATGAGAGCTCTGAATCTCTCTCCAGCAAGGTATTTACTTAATGATGGCTATTTCACCAGGCCCAGTTTATGTTTAACTATCTGGCTAATGGTTTCAGCACCTCCCCTCCTCCCCCACCCCCAGAGGATGGAGGCAGGTCAGGAATAAGCAGAGAATACTGCAGGGTCCTACTCCTGGGGGAATAGACTACTTGAGAGGATGGGGCTACTTTGCATTTATTTAACATCTTTCTCCGGCTCATAAAGCTTGCCCCAGGTGGGAATGGGAAGCAGACAAGTTTTCTGCTCCCTTTACAGCTAGCATTCTGTGCTCAGACATCCTGCACAAACTTCATGCATTTAATGAGGCTGCCTGCAAGCATCCAATTTTACCCCCTCCCCAGAAGCAGGGAGTTGTGATGCTTTCTCCTATGGGCCCACTCAGAATCCTAGAATTGGAACTTCAGAATTGGAGGAGGCTCTGAAAGTCACCTAGTTCTACTGGTGGCCTTCTAGGGATCCCCTCCATAACCCTTCTCCCCCCAAGTTGTCATCCAACTTCCACTGAGTCAGCTAACAAGTATTTCTTTCTTTCTTGTTTTTTTTTTTTAGTGAAGCAATCAGGGTTAAGTGACTTGCCCAAGGTCACACAGCTAGTGAGTGTTATATGTCTGAGGCCAGATTTGAACTAAGGTCCTCCTGACTTCAGGGCCAGTGCTCTATCCACTGCGCCACCTAGCTGCCCCATATGTATTTTTATATTAGTAGTGCAGACACAAATTAGATGAAGGTGAGCTCGAAAAGGAAGGCATTAGCAGTTCTGGGGCCTCAGGAAAGGCCTCAGGCAGAAGATGAGATGTGATTTATAATCCATTAGATTACAAATTCCTTCATTAGACTGTAAACTCCTTGAGGGCAGCAGCTGTTTTCTTCCCTTTTTTGTATCTCCAACACCATCTTAGCATAATGCCTGACACATAGTAGGCATTTAATAAATGTTGATTGATTGATGAGTCCAGGGAAATCAGAGAAATCATCCTTCACTTTCTAGGCATTCATTCAACTCTCATTTATTAAGCACCTACTACATACTAGGCAAGCAGTTTAGGTGGCCCAAGGCTCATCTTCCTGACATCAAATCTGGCCTCAGAGACTTACTAGCTGTGTGACCCTGGGCAAGTCACTTAAGCCAGTTTGCCTCAGTTTCCTCATCTATAAAACGAGCTGGAAGAGGAAATGGCAAACCTCTCTAGTATCTTTGGCAGGAAAACCCCAAATAGGCTCAGAAACAATTGGACACAACTCAACAACAAAATATACCAGGCACTGGGGATATGAAAAAACTCAGAAACAACCCCTTCTCTCCAGGAGCTCACAGTCTAATGAAAGAGACAATTTTTGAGCAACCATGTACAAACAAGATCTCCCATATAAATTGGGGGTGATCTCAAAGTTAGACACTGAGACAAAGGAAAACTAAAGTTTTCTTGCAAAAGGAGGGACTCTAGCTGGGACTAGAAGGAAATGAGGGAAATAACAAACATTTCTATACGGCCTTAAGGTTTGCAAAGTCTTTATAGAGATAATCTCATTCAAAGTAAGTGCTTTTATGATCTCCATTTTACCAAGGAGGAAACTGAGACTGAGAAGTTAAGTGACTTGCCCAGGGTCACACAGCTAGTAGGAACTTGAGAGTATTAGGATTAGAATTCAGGTCTCCTTCACTCTCCAGTACAGCATTCTATCCACTACTCCACCTCCATGCTGGATTTGAGTTTAAATCTACAACTGATCCATGCAACACTGAGCCAGCCACAATTCCAGAGAGAGTACCAACAATAAAAAGTACTACCTTCCTCCTGATAAAGAAGAGGTAGACTTCAGGTGCAGAATGGATTGCAGAATGTAGCACTTTTGGACACGAACAATGCGAGAATTTGTTTTGCTTGCCTGTACATATTTGTTTTAAAGACTTTGTTTTTCTTTTAAATTGGAGGTGGGAGAGAGAGGGAGAGAACATACACGCTTATTCACTGAGAAGTAAAATGGAAAAATATAAGGTTAAATCCACAGATAATCCAAAAAAACTTTGTGTCAGCCAATAGTTTCAAACTTTTCCCTCAGTCAACTATATAAATGAATGGCTAGCTTTCCCCCTTCTCTCCCTGCTGAGGCTAACCTAGAAGCATAGATGTCAGTGTTAACAAGGATTGTAAAAGGTCTTCCAATTTTTAAGCCATCTTTATGGAGGCATGGGAGTAGGGAGGTGGAACAGAGGATAGAATACTGGAGTTGGAATCAGGAAGACATCTTCCAGAATTCAAATCCAGCCTCAGACACTTATTAAGCTATGGGACCCTAGGCAAATCACTTCACCCTATTTGCCTCAGTTTCTTCATCTGTAAAATGAGCTGGAGAAGGAAATGGCAAATCACTCCAGTATCTTTGCCCCTACTCCCCCCCCAAAAAAACCAAATCCAAAATGGCATATGGAAGAGTCCAACTGAAACAACTGATCAAAAATGAGGGTATAGATCCTGCCTTAGCTAGATTTTTTACCTCCGACTTTCCACATAGTAAATGCTTGTTGAATGAATCTAATGAAAACTCCTCATTTTAAAGATGTGGCAGGGAAACAGAATCGAAAAGCAACCTTCCCTTCCTTTCAAGTCCCTGCCCCCTTCTGTCATTTAGGGAAAGAGTTTCCTGGAGCTTGGAGAGTTTCCTACAGCTCAGACCACTGAATTCTTAGTTGTTAAAAGATTTTAGAGCTGACCCTCTCATTTTAAGAATGAGGAAACTGAAGTCCAGGAGAGTGATGTGACTGGTCTAAGGTCACCCAGGTAGCAAGTCACTAAGTAAAGGTCAAATACAAGCCTGATAATTTAAATCCCATAGAGGCAATTGATTTGTTTTATTAAAAAAAATTCTGAAATGTTATAAATAAATATAAATAAAATATATATATAAATACATAAATAAAATTAGCAGTTCTGTGTCCATAGTAAAGTGAAAAAGAGGATTGAGACTAGGAATCTCTATTACATGGTTTGCTTTTTTAAAAAAATTAATGTGAATATAAAATTAATAATACAAATAATCCACAATATAAATTCAACATGTAACTTTCAAACCTGTCCTGCTTGTCTGTGATTCTTTCTGGACTTCTGTTCTCTTCTGTGCATTTTTCAAAAAAAGTGCTTCAATGATCCTCTCTCTCTTTTCTTTTTTTTTCTTTTTTGTTTGGCAACCCTGATCCCTCCCCCTCTCCTTCTTTTCCCCTCCCCCACTGAAATAAAGAAAAACAAAACCCGAGCAAATAAATATGCAGAGTCCAGCAAAACAAATTCCCACACTGGCCATGTCTGAAAATGTATGTCTACTTCTATATCTCAAGTCTATCACCTCTCTGGCAGGAGGTAGGCAATATGCTTCATCATGCTTTAGAAATCCTGGCTGATCCTGATCCAAGTTCTTGGGTCTCCCGAAGTCGTCGTTATTGGATCGCTCTGATTCTGTTCTTTTCACTCATAGAAGTCTTCCCAGCTTTCTCTGAAACCGCGTCTTTCATCATTTCCTATAGTACTATCATATTCCTTACATTCATCTATCATAACTTGTTCAGCCATTCTCCAATCGAAAGAACACTGGGTTTGGAGCCAGGCCTAAATTCTAATCCCTTCTCTGCCTAGCGACCATGGGCAAATTACCTCTCCGTGAGCCTCAGTTTACATCAGTGTAGAATGAAGGGGTTGGGTTCGACGGCTTCTCCAGCGATCGTGAGACTGGCGCAGCGTTAATCCCACACTGGCCTCACTTCGGGAACCTGGGGAACCAAGCTGGTCCGTTCAGAGGTGGGAAGGGGTGGAGTGGGGGTGGAGCACACGCTGGTGACTCTTCAGAGCCCTGGATGGCTACGGGGCTGAGAGACCACGAAGAATTCACGCCGCCCAGCATGGGATGAATGGGTCTACTCCTTTGCCCAAGCCTAGCTCTCCTCCCTCCCCTCTCATCCTAGATGCCTCTCCAGGGTTTAGCGAGTTACCCCTTTCAGCAGGAGAGGCTGCGGGGAGCCCGGCGAAGGGCCGAGCATCCCGCCCCTGTCCCTGGGGACCCAGGTGGTGGCCCTGGGGACCCAGAAAGGACCACTGGGAGGGTCTTTGGGGCGGGCTGCTCTACAGCTTTCTAAGCCTCCTCTCCCCTCCGCCTAACTCCTGGCCCCCGCCCCCGGGCCAGCCCCCCGAGCTGGGGCCCCACCTGCGGGCCCCTCCAGCTGGGGGCGGGATCTCGAGGGGCCGGGCCAATCAGCACGCGCCTGGGCGCTTACCTGCTTCCCTCCTTCTGCTCGTAGCCCTCGCTGCAGCTGAAAGCTGGAACGCGGTCGTGTGGTGCGCATCCTGACTCCTCGGCGGGGAGCGGAGCCGAGTGGAGCCTGAGAACGGAGCCCTCGGGATAACTCCAGAGCGCCCGCCACACCTCCTCCCTCGCACCATGAGGCTTTTCAGCCAGGGCTGCTTCCTGCTCGTCCTCCTCCAGGTAAAGAAAGCTGCTGCCCCTTGGCCCGGCTGGGGAGGCTCTTCCCTCGTGGGCTGGAGGGCGCTACCCCCGGGGGGGCCCCATCGAGGCGCCCGGCTCCTTCGGAAACAGGCATAGGAGCGAGGCTGGGGGTGGGGGCTCCCCAGGAAGGTTGGGAACCTCTGGGGACTAGGGGCAACCCAAAAGGCGGAGGTGGGGGGAGTGTCGAGGGGACGAGAAGAAGGCCAGGGGCCGCTAGCTGGGGAGTACAGTTTGGGGAGTCTGGATTGGACTCTAATTTCTGCCCTTCCCCACAACAGTTTTGCGGGGTTCTTTACGCGGAGTCCGAGCCATGCCGGGAGGGCTTCGGGGAAACGGAGGTCACCTTCGCTGTTGGACAGGCGGTGCTGGAGCCAGGCCAGGAGCTGGGGCAAGGTAAGAACTGCCTCTCCCCTCCACCCCCACCCCCCACCTTGATCCATACCCAGAGTGGGACGTGGACCTTTACCAGACGCAGTCCGAGACTGGGGAAGGGGGGTAGGGTGTGAGTGGGACCTCCTTCACACCTGGCACAGGTGCCCCAGGGGTGGGGGTGTAGGGAAGAACATGTTGACTCTTCGCTCTTGCCCTGCACAAAGCTCTCGGGACTCCGCCCCTGGGAGGTGGCTGCTGTCAGCCCCTTCCTGCCCTCTCTGCTGCTCAGGGTTTGGGGGGGGGGCGGGGGATGGAGAATAAGAACCAGACACTGAGGAAAGTAAGTCTCCAAGCTCCAGTTCTCCCCGCCCCCCAGAGTGGGGAGTAAGAGCTGGCTCTAGAGGGGGGGCCCGGAGCCACCACTCCGGCTCTGACCGTTGCACCCCGGGGCCCCAATTAGGGGAACACCTCGGGGCAGCCAGTCTGCTTCCTTTGTAAAGTGCCCCTACCAGCTTCCAAGGTCTGTGCCCTCTCTCTTCCCGACCCCTGTAATCCCCCCCCCCAGCCCACCCCTGTCCCTGGGTAGCTCTTCCAGGCATTGGCTTTAGCCCAGGGTAGCCTGGCGTGGGCCTGAGCTGAACCTCCTTGGGCTTTGATCCTCTGTAGAGGAAACGGTTTATCTTTGCCTCGCCCTCGGGGTCTGGCTCGGGCAGCTCTGCCCAACATTCCTTTCGAAGCCTCCAGGGGCGGGCGCAGACCCAAAGTGCAGGTGTGGGGATGAGCACAGCCAGCCTCCCCTACTAGGCTCCTAATTGCCACAAATGGGGGCCGGGGCTTTGTGAAATGTACATTGTGTTTGAAACAGAGGAGGTCTGTTTCTGCTCTCTGCACCCCCTCCTTCCCCAGCAGCTGGAATGCACTTTTAACCCTACCCTTGCTGGAGTGACTTCTCACCCAAAGCCATCCCTGGAAACTTTTGCAACAGGACACCTCTCTCTGGGCCTGGGCAAGAGCAATTACTCACGAAGCAGACCCCTCCAGTGGCTATACTTTGGTTATGTTATGTAAATAGCAAAGGGTCTGGAAGGTTTCTGGGGGAGGGCTTGCCTGGTAAGAGTGGTTAATGTAAAGAACTGGAGATCAAAGAACACGTTTGATCTCCCAATAGTCACTGGGTCATCCATACCTAGTACAAAGCTGGAATTAAGGGATGGCAGAAAGCTTGTGGACCAGAGGGGAGGTCAGCCCTGGTGCTGAGAGCCATTGAGAGGTGTGAACTCCCCAATCACCAGGGAATAGAAATTGTTCTTGCTTCTGGTTTGGATTTATGGTGTTGGCTTCTTCTTTTGGAACTTGTGTTCATAGATTTAGAGCTGAAAAGGACCTTAGGGGCCATCTCTAGTCCAACTGGCTTATTTTACAGAAAAAGAAATTTCTAAGCTGATGACTTGACTGAGATCATAGGAGTAGTAGGTGACTCCGCTGGGATTTTAACCTAGCTCAACTGATTCCAAATCTAGAGAGCTATTATGCCATGTTGCCTTCAGTGTTCCTGTCTCTTCCTTCCTGCACCTTGTTCCAGAGAAGCAACTTGCATAGGATTTTCCTAGGTTCCAAAAAGCTGGGGAAGGAAACCCAACCTCAGAAACCATCTATTCATTTTAATAATAATTCACAATTCTGTAACACTTGAAGTTTTGCCAAGAGCTTCTCCCATAACAGTGCTGAGGTAGGTTGAGGTAGTGGTGGCAGGATGTGTTTGCATTTTACTGAAGAGGAAACCAAGGTCCAGACAAGAGAATCAAAGTCACCCAAGGTCACACAGTAGCAAAGCTGGTTTCAGATGCTCTGATGCCTCTGGCAGCTAAAATATGACTGGTTTTTGCGGCTGCTCTATGTAGGAGAGATTAGAATGAATATATCCTTTGTCTTCTAAAACATTCAACTGCAAGCCTTTTGAGTCTTTGCAAGCCTTTCCCTAAATAACTTAGCAGATTGTCAGAACAATTAACACCCTTGCTAGAAAAGTTCTCTAAACCCTCTGCTGTGGGGTCCGGAGGAAAGGCATTAAGAGGCCATGCCTCATAAACTTTGAATTCTTGAGTGCAGGCTTATTACTGGCGGGCTAACAAACTGTAACCACGCCAACCTGTAAAATGTTAACTTGGGCAACGTCCCAAATCAAATTCCGGCTCCCCATGGAAGCTTTATTGCTAACCAGTCTAAGGCTTTGCCAAATCCCTGTTCAGAGCTGCAGATTGGGTCCTCGGGTTGGTGTTTTTTGGTTTTTGGGGGTTTTTTTTGTTGGGTTTTTTTTGTCCATTGAAGTACCAGGGAGTGTGCTGGAGTCTCCTGGTAGAACCCCATGCTTTATCTACCTGCCTTATCTTCATTACGCACCAGCAGGAAGGATTTGGATAACTGTCTCTTCCTACAATTTGAAGTTTGAGACTGCTGGGAGGAGGAGGAGGAGGAGAAGGGTACATTTCACACTTGGCTTAAAGAGGGAGGGAGAGGTTTGTGCTGGAGAGAGCCTCCCAATCACATCAGGCATTTTATACCTTTTGAGGAAATACAGTTTTCTTAATTGTCTGGTTTGTGGTAGTGAAATGGGTACCAGCTGCCAGGAAAAACGGCTTTGCAATAAAACAGACTTGTCCAGCCAGTAAGCTGGATTCATTCCTCCTTACCTTAACTTCTCCTCGGCATCCATGCTGGGATTCTGATGGAAATCTGGGTGATCCTAGAAACAGCTTTGCCCCAACCTAGCTGTAACCTGAAAGCACATCACATGCTGGACTTTTTGTGAAGGAAAGTATCATTTTGAAGCAAGAAGTTGCTTATTTGGTTAATAGAACAGGATTCTAAGTTTTTTTCATCAGAGCACTTAGGAACAAAAACCAAGGATCTCTGCATCTGTTTCTTAGCAGATAAATCTTTGGGATTTGCTTGAAGCTAATGTTAAGTAACTTATTCGGTGTTTACAGCTAGGAACAGGTCTTACTGTGGTCAGGTGTGGTACTCTTATTCATTAGGCTGCACTGCCTCTCTACTAGGCACAAGATGGAGATCCTTTTTACTATTGAGCAATCTGTCCAAACTCTCCATTTCAGTAATAAGGGGAAACAAAGACTTGAGAGAAGTGACTTTCTCAAGGTCACATACGAAGAGCTCTGCTCCCCTCAATTCAATGCCCATGTTCTTTCAACTCCTATTATGTTGCCAACTAGTTAATTAACTAACTGTGCTTGGACTCACTGGTTAGGACAGCCTATTCCTAGTTCAAAGTGATTATGAAAGCACAGAGAAAGCCTGAGTTCTCAATTTGGCTCTGAAAAGCTCACCTGTTACCCTTCTACCTAGTGAGGTGGAATAAATTCTTTGGTTCCTGGTAGCCTGGAGGCTACACATGCCACCTTTGTTCCGCAAATTGAGCTAAAAGCCTTCTCTGGTATAATACCTTGGATTTGTATGGTGTTTCTTATTTTCCAAAGCCTTTTAACTGCTGTGATCCTGTTTTTTATCTCCCCAGCTTCCCTCCCCCAAACCTCCTCTTCCCCCCCCAAAAAAAACCAAAATAAAGTGGGAGCATAGAAATTAGAATTCCAAGAGCTTGGACTAGGTGATAGCCAAAGTTTTCTTCTTCCCAAATCATATGCCTCCCCTGTCTGGAGTACAGGGAACCATCTTCTCCCATTGGCCTGCTTATAGATCACTGAATTTTTTTAATTAAAAGATTCTTTTTTTCAGTTAAGCAGTAATTCTCAAACTTTGAAGTCCCTTTACACTCTTAAAAATTATTGATGACCCCCAAAGAGCTTTGGTTTATGTGAGTATGATCTCTATTTAGTTTATTGGAAAATAAAACAGATAGTTTTAAAAGATCTATTAATTCATTTAAAATAACAATAATAAAGCTATTAAATGTTAACATAAATAAAAATATTTTAAATAAAAATAACTTATTTTCCCAATCAAAACTTAATGAGAAGAGTGCTATCCTTTTTGATATTTTTCCAAATCTCTCTAATATCTGGCTTAATGGAAGGGATAGCTGGATTTGCATATTTGCTTCTGTATTAAATTTGGGTATTTGAAATGTAGTTTTGGTTGAAGTATATGAAGAAAATCCAGACTCATACTGATACGTTGTTGTGGTTGAAGTATATAAAGAAAATCTAGCCTCACAGATATATGGTTGGAAGGGAGGCGTATTTTGATAGGCAGATGAGGTCTTAGCATTATTATGAAACTAGTTTTGACCTTGGGATCCCTACAGGGGTCTTAGCAGCCAGCACTTTTGACAATAAAGCAGAAGTCAGAAGGTTAGCACCGGGATCCTAATCAGTCTTTGACAACTTAGTATGAATGAATTTGTCTTTTTCTGAAGGTAGACTCTGGGAGGGGGACAAAAGAATCCTGGGACTCAAGGTACTTGTGTTGAGAAGGAAGAAAGCAGGCTGGAAGTGTTGTTTTTTTTTTTTCCGGAGAGTCTTTTTTAAGAAGAAAATCTCTAGAAATAATGCTCTCCCTGAGTGTACAATTCTCACTGACCCAGATCAGGAATAGTTATAAATTTCCTAAACAGAAGAGGAGTTGGGAGTTCTAGGTTCCACTTAGACTAGGGTCTAAGTAAAACCACCTATTCCTAGGGTTTATAATGAACTGTCCCTTCTACACTACTGTTGAGTTACTGAGATTTGGTTGGTGAAGTTAAGAGCATGGACCTAGAGGCAGGTACTTGTTCCTCCATCTATAAGGGGACTCAGAGAGAGCGGAGGGCACTGAAGGCAGTGAATTCTGGTAGGCTGTGAAAGCAGACTTGGAGTGACCCGAGCTATGTATTATAAAGCCCATGAAACAAGCCAGAAGGAGGAAAGCTGATATGAATTGATTAATACTCTGATTGAGTAATATGTCTTTTGATAGACTCAAAATATTATCTCACCAAGACAGAGGGTAACTCCAAGGAAATTTTTCATAATGACAGTTAAAAAAAAAAGCCTTTTATCTATGATGCT